TTGACGTTTCTATGCGTTGCATATTAGTCTTAAACTAATATTTTCATTTGTACATTTTATACGATAAAGATACACGAACATAAAGTTCACGGAGTGTAGGAGTCATTTTGAATATACGACTTGATCCATTAGGCTAAGTAAATTGTTTGCTGCTCCCATATGTGACCTAAGTTGCTTTGGTATTATTCCGAGCCGTAAGTCATTGCCATATCTAAGAAATGAGGAAATTTAATATAAAAAGGTTTTATAATATTTAAATATAAAAAATATACCCGTGTAGCTTCAGTTAAAATTTTAAATAAGAGTTCTAGCTAGTGCACTTGTGTTCAATGAAATATTTTATAGCTGGATAGAGTTTTTACTGCAAATATTTATTTTTGTTGGCATAATACTTGGAAACTCAGAGTCTAGAAATGCAAAACTTATCGACCCGGAAGTTTAATTGTGTATTATAATTTCTTTATTTGAATAAACTTGAGAAAGTTTTACTTACTCAGTAATTAATCAAAAAAGTAAGGTAAACTAGTAGTTAGCTCTAAGCAACAAAATCAAACGCTTACTTTTCTCTAATGTCTTATCCTTAGCACATTAAACAGACTCTTCTCGAATTTCTCTCCGTAATTTCAAGATTGCCTTTAGCGTTCTTCAAGAAGTCAACACGCTTTAATTAACCTTAAACCTGCAATCTTAAATCCTGTAAAGAAATTGACAGTTTTGTGGATAACTATGAATGTTTGTTGAAGAAACCTACTTAGGAAACACTTGTGGGCAAAGTATTTTCATAATAAAGTTCAGAGAGTATGAGACAACGTTATATGCAATATATTTGACGAAAGACTGAAGAAGCTTATGAAGAAGAAATATCAATAGTATTTTGATAAGTTTTAAATGACACAAGTAAAACTTTAATCACCTAAACATATTAAATGTTACATATTTTTTGGTAAAATTCTTTGCGATTTTATCTATAGAAATAATTTTATCCTATTCTTAAAACCCAATACACCTCAACGAATTTTAAATACACACATGTTTATGTAAAACAATTATTTATACATTTTCTTTATTGTTAGAGCCTCATTGCTAGAAACCTGTAAAGGCATAGTAATATTTATAACGTTTATGAACTTTAAAAACTTATGTAAAAACGTATGCCGTATATTACTTACTTTTTCTCTGTTCACAAACTTTAGGTGGTTTTAGGGGAAGGACTCCAACCTTTAAAATCAGCTGTTGGATTAAGTATACATTAGCCACAAACAAGTGGGGGGGGGGGGGGGAAACTTCTTAAATGTTTGTGAGCAGAACATACGGAATTCTATATAGTCTGTAGCATGGTGTATTAAGCTTAACCATTTCAGTAAATGTTTTGATTATAAAAGTTATTGATACAAGGTAGCTATGAATTCAGTTCAGTATTCAAATTTTGCATTGAAAACAATATTTACCTAACAGCCAAGATGATTATGTTCAATTTACAATAACATTTAAAATCGTCACGATTGGTCATTGCTACTCTCAAATACAAGACACTTAAAAAAAAAACAGTCTAACCAAATGCATCATGACAAGAAAATGTAATGAAATTACTCGTAAAATAAGAATTGTGGTTCAGGATTGAAAAAGATTAAGAGCGATGACATAGCTTTGTGTAAGCCTTTCTTTCACGTTGAATATGGTTTAGTCTTTAAATTAATTTTAATTCAATGCTAACCTGCTTCTTAATTTAAATTCTTTGAAAGACGAAATTTTACAGTTATCTACTGTTTAAAAGTATCCTCAATAAGGTTTTCAAGCAAATACTTTTTATAATTCCCACCTTCTCATCCTAGGACGCTAGGTTCTTGGCCAAAACTAATTTAAACATTATTTCAGACTAACTTTATATGGTTGCGGCATTATCACATAGATTAGATCCATTGGTGATTGGCGGGATTTGAACCCGGGACCTCGACCTCCGAACCCCAAGCTCTACCACTAGACCAGCTTGCTTCCCATTCCTTTGAATAGAATGGAGTAAACTGTTCTTCTTCTTCAGGAAATACTCCAGTATATTGATAATCTAATGTTACATAATCATACAATTTTGCTATGTTCATAATAACAAATGTTTAAGCTTAAAGCTTCAATATTTACCGTCGTATTTGATTTATTTTGTTTTGAAATATAGTTAACAAAAATATTGTTACTTAAGTGGTTGTATAGCACATGTTCCGGTGGTAAAATAGATTAATTTAGAATTTATATTAGGAAATTCTATAAACAACATTTGCACACCATTATTAGATATTGTGCACGTGACACTTGATCTCTGTGATGTTTGACAATCTGTTCCTTAATAAAGCTGATTACTTAAACTAAAAAAATCAAAGGAAAAAAATTATATAAATCAAATTTTTTATAAAAATTCTTTTTAGATAAAGTATTTTCATAGACCACATACAACATGTTATTTGCAATTTTTTTTTCATTTCGTTATCCTTAAATCATTGTAAACATTTTTGTGTAGTGTAGTATACAGCACAGAACGAAGAAAAGTTAATCCATAAACAATCATAAAAGTTCCAGAGACATATATGAACATGACTGTCCATTATCTGCAGCTATGATTTTTGACATTAGTAAATAAATTATGATAAGTCACTCAATCATTTAAAATTAAAATATATGTTGTAATATAAACTAATTCTATTTGGAAAGTTACAAAAATATTTGTTTTATGGATTCATTGCAAATAAAATTGGTCTACTAAAATATAAAAATATATAAAAAAATTATCAAATAAGTAAATTAATAATAAACAAGTAATGTTTCAACATGTATTTGTCCACAACTAAAGGGTATTTTTCTACAGGGATTTTTACCATGATAGAAAAGTGTAGTAGGAAGTTGACTTGATTATAAGACTGTTAACGAGATTAGATACAAGAGAAATTGCTTCTATAACGTTTTCTTCAGAGTAGCCTGATACTTAAAGGAGAAGGCGTAAATTTATTCATCTTAAGTTACAAGAGTCATGTGCAGTGTTCTAATACGATAAACTTATAGTAAATGAAACCCTTTATATAAAAATATTAATCCTTAGAGTGATTATTCTTCAGTTTAAGATAATGTTTGATTTTAGATTTATTTATTAAAATAAACTAAACAATATCCTAAAACTATGTATGGTTAAAATGTTTTCAAATATTTACGGAAAACACCCCCAACCAGTTAGCAATCAATGGTACTTGTCTTATAAAAAATAATGATTTATAACTCGGTAGAAATAAATGTAATGTTATAAGGTTGTTAGGCTTGCAACGGGATGTTCTCAACCGAAAGGGAATAATCAGATTTTCTTGTTATTCAAATTAATAACTTTATCACAATATAGAATAGCATGTTCAGAAAATTTGAAAAACTAATGTAATTTTGGTCTAAGTGCTCTTAGGGAAAATGGATTTTTTGTTGTAAGACTTAGCAATCACATACAAGAACAACTATATTACTCATAAATCTGAATTGTTAAAAAAACCGTGTTAATAAAATTGTTAACTACTATTTTAAAAACAAATTTAGATTGAACGTGTCTTAAATATTACAATAACTTCACACCAATACGTCACTTTTCCATCAGAAATCAGCTGATACAAGTGTATATGTAGCCCACGCAGAGTTTTCTTCCGCCCTACATTGTTGATTATCCAACAATGTTTGTACAATAACATCCGTTTGGCGGAAATCAAATATACGCTCGTTTTATGATTTAAGCTTTACAATATATGATGTGAATCCATCAATAAATCCTTCAATATATGAGTGGTGCGTGTGTAGATAAATAAATAAATATTTCGTGTACGGGTTTAGGAATTATATTTCAAGGATTCTTTGGTCCTTTTCCTTTAATGCACTACCACTACATTCTTATTGCAATTTCGTGAATTTACTACCAGGATTTTTTCATAATCAGCAAGTTTGGTTGGTTAGGCAAGTTTGGACATTTTATCATTGATATATTCATAGACTAGGCTAACGGTTAAAAATATCGGCATTGCAATAAAATTTAGTGGTGAATTAACGGAAAAGAACCGATTCTTTGATCGTAGATTCAATAGTTACAGACTCAAATAAAACACGTAATTCAAATTGTACATGTAAATTTTCTGAAGTCATTAACATAATACACACAGTGGTTAATTCACAGTAAATTGACATTTAATATCAAACCTTAAAATTAGGGGAAACGGTCAACACTTTAAAACCACGTTCTTTTGTTTCAACACTAACACTATTGAGAATAAACTGTTTAAAGAAAGTGGTCAAATCCTCTTAAAATTATTTAGGATGGATTGAGGCTTGAACCCACCACTCTCACAATGAAGTCCGTTATGACTAATTATAAATGATCAATGATCAATAATCAACCTGCATTCAACACTCATCACTCATCAATAATCAATTATCAATTATCAACGATCAATTATTTAAGATCCGTGCCACCTACGCAAGTCCGACCCTTACCACCATGATAGCAACACACACACACTAAGTTTGACTTTATCATCCAAATAGCACTTGCTTGTGGTTTTATCATTATAAAAGAATGCAACTTAAAATCAATCGTACCACTACGCCAAAAGAAAGAAAGACTTGTATCCTAAGCATATTAGAAACTTGTCTCTCATTACAAGTGATAATTAATTAATGAACATTATACTTTACCTCCACTGTAAATATATAAGGTGTAGGAGGACATTGTAGAACAGGTGTTACTGTTTAACAACGCCTACAAGTCTGACCTCGGCGCTGGTGATAATGGTTTAGTGTTAAAAAACAGAGTTGTGTCCTGCAGAAGTTTTATGGTGCGGAGAGCTTTAATGAAACTTAAAAACAATTAACTCTCATATATCTCTTCACTTGCGTGGTAAAATATAATAAACCGACTGTAATCGGAAAATATTTTCCTTAAATTAAATTTTAAAATGTACCTACTTAACGCAAATAAAATAAAAGACTTACCAAATCAATATCTGCGGGTGGGCAACCCTATGATTGCACTTCTTGTTTCTGTCACCACCTAATCCTTGTATCTGAAACAAAAATAAAATAATAAACATACATATTTTACATCGATCAATTACCAGGAATAAACTGCAAAGAAAATTAAAACGGAAATGTTCCGTGTTATTCACCCTATTATGGAATGAAAACAATAATCTAAAAATAAACTTGAAAATTCCTTGTAAGTGTTTTGTATAGAGGGTCTTTAAATTAATTGATACATTCCTTTATTTTACCATTCAAAAGGGAATTATCATTACTCAACACAACTATTTAATACACTAACAATACATATACATGCTCAATTTCTTCATAGTCATATGAGTTGTTAAAGAGAAAAAAATAGGAATTAGAAAGAAGGCTGTAGTGAAATACAGGGCTATTCAAAAATATGGACCCAAATTCATGATTTTGTATCTCAAAAAGTATAAACGAGGCATAAACTTTACACCATTAAAAAGAGGAAATTTCTAAGTTGTTTACCATATTTCTGAAATCAGCCGAAAAGGTTATCGCAATAATGGGCAGCCGTTTTGTTTTAACATAGGCCTAAGTTGTTAGTAAGATGACTATCATGCAACATAAGATCTTTTGTGTGACAGAGTTTGCAAAAACTGAGTCTCCTAGTTCAGCGGGCTTTTCTCATCGAATTCGGTATTCAACCACCGACTAGAAAAAAAAAAACATAACTCGTTTGCATTTTAAGAAGTTTGTGACACAAGAGATGCTGTCTCGTATGTGGGACTAATAAGTTTTAGTAATTCGGCTATCGCTTAGATATTTGCCATGCAGCACAGGGGGGACAAAAAATTGAGCAATTGAAATCATTGTAAAATAAAACTTAGAAATTTTCTCTTACTAATGGTGTAAAACATATTTGTTTCCAATTTAAATTTAGACTTACTTTATTCGAGATACAAAATACCGAAACTAGGTCCATATTTTTGAATAGCCCTGTATTATGATTTAAAATCGGAATTATAAATACATATTTATAAGTTATTACTCAGTTGCATCTTTGTACTTTGTTCTTTCACGAAAAAAATTAAAAACATAAAAATTTATAGGCCTACAATCAAAAAGATTATATTTATATGAAGTTATTTTAAATTCGAAAATATTGATACCGGTTGAAAATTTATTAAAAATTAGATGCTAGGCAATTAAAACTGTGGTTTTCTTCTTAGCACGCTTGAGCTGATACAGACAGGCTAATACTAATCCATAATTAATTTAGCTGGGTAAGCACTGATAAAATGCTTGAATCATGTTTTCAATTAGTTTGGGATTATATCTATAATTAATATCCAAGATGTTGGATGATGATACTTGATGGTCGATAAGTGTACTGTATCAAAATCTTACCAAGGCTGTAAACTCTTACTTTAGTTAGACATTTTTTGTTTTCTTTTACAGTGGCATTAATTTACTGAAATAATGCCGTAATCTTATTAATGCACGATAATAAAAAATATAGTTAGTTATTATTTACTATTTGTGCTATGAAAGGTTCAATAGCTTAGTATATATTCACTTTCTTACTAACTTTAATTAACGACAAGACACAAAAAGATCTTAACGACCTATCAATCTCCTGCTGATTGTAAGATCAATATACACTCGTCCAGGGCAAAAAAGACGTATTACGAAGAAAAATATAAAGTAAAAAACTACATGATTATATTTTATGATTTAATGAAACTATATTTGATGCAATCATAAAAAAACGATGAAGTTTTTCTTGATTTGTAAAATTAAAATGACGTTTTATACGGTTTAAGCCAGTTATGGTTTAAGGTTAAAAATTAAATATTCTAAAAATTAAGATAACTTCGAAATACTTTGTATAATTTTATCTTATATTGAAGTAATAAATTCAATAACCTATACAAATATAATCTATTAAATAAAAATTTTCCAAGCAGTTTTCATATCTTTCATTTTATTCTGTTATCTTATACATGTTATGGCGATTTAAGGTTCAAAATTAAACAACAGTAAAGAGTCAACAAGTAAAGAAAGCCTTGTCCCAAAACAAGGGAAAACGTTTTGAGAATTAAAAGGGTGGATTGTATAAATTAACCCTTATAGGTCTTCAATTAACCGAAAGTACAGCCAATAAAGGGGTTAAGCACATCTCAACAGTTTTGTCGTTAATTTCCTATTTCTAGAAGTGCTTGGTCAACTGTATTTCTCGACGGTGAATTAACCTTCCTAATAAACCTCTTTAACCTTCTTTATTAATGACACGTCCTCCCCCACAAAGTTTTGGCTCTGGTCATTCGTTTCCGTTTATTTATGGTTCGTTTGTATTTCAACACTTTCGTGCTTAAAAATGGTATTCTGGAAATTGTTCATGTTCTCCTAGAAAATACTGTTTGAGTTGTGAGGTATTGACACTGCAAAACATATATTTTTCAGCAGTAAAATGTGTATATTAACGAAATAAAAGTCATACAAATAACCAAGTATATGCTTCTTAGCTACAAATCTCAACATCGGTTTTTAAGATTAGATTTTTTGTGGTATGTTTTAAAAATAACAGTTATGGATCAAGAAAATTACAATAAAATTACAAAACAAAATAATAATAGTTGCTAAGCAAAAACATAATGTATTTTCTTTGTATAATACTTTTGAGCAAAACCTGTGTGACTGATTCCTTCATTTAATAAATTACACTAGAATAATAGTTTTAATCATACATATAAACTTCCATGACCACTAGGGTTTTTTACTTTTAAAACATAAGAAGAAAAATTTTAAAATTAAATTAGTTTTTAATTAAATAATCTAATTATCATATTAATTAAATTAAATTTATTCATTTATTAAATTAAATTTAATTAGTTAATTATTTTTTTTCTATAAAATTATAAAACAATAATTATTTCAAAGTTTTGAAAATTCCAAAAAGTGTATATTTCTTACTATTTAGGTATTATAGAATCTGTATAGGCAATAGACATTACTATAAAATAATGCAATCTCAAATACCAAACGATAATCGATTTTAAGGTTAGCAGTTAATTTCAAAACTTAGGCTTAAGCGAGAACTTCTTTTAGCTCATACAATGTTATTATAAAAATAAATAATAAACAAAGTGAAAATGAGGTAACATTATATAATCTGTTTATACTCAATTTTATAGTCGTGAGAGCTAAAGTTTATGTAAAACTGTTTGGTAAATAATGCAAGACTAATACCGTTAACATTGTTATACGGCTAACACGGTTTCATAATAACTAATAAAATGTTATGACCTAATACAAGTTAATGTTATGGCTACAATATAAACACATTCGTTAACAAAACTTCTAATAAGACAACAAATTTAATAAAAATAAATCCAGAGAGATTATTGGTAATTAATGAAAATGAGTATGATCCCCAACGTGATTAAATTACTTTCACCAATTGATTTTGCTGATTTGTGGAATCTTCTTAAAATAAACTTCATGAACTCAAGAATCTTGGGCAAGATGCTTCTTTATTAAAAGAAGTAATTGAATTCTTCTCCTGATTGCAGATATTTTCATTTTGCTTATGCTAATTCACAGACGATTCTTGAAGAGTAAGTCTAAAAATATTCCCCCAGCATCTGACTTTTCATGCAAATTCAGTGATTTTTGTGATGGCACACTTGAATCTGTGCTATAACAGTTTTTGAGAATGATGTAGAATTTGCTTGGATGGAATTAAAATTAATATTAATATTAATACCTTTAAATAATATAGTTGTAAAAACGACCTGTAAGTTTCTATGGTAGGATAACATTTTCTACAGAAAATACGATAAGCTAACAACTTTTGATAGAACATTCCGATCATAATGATACCTAACAAACTAATGATAAGAATCACAGGACCTGTTTTAGTTTTATTAAATAGACCCAGGAACTTTCTTATTATCACCAGAGATACGATTTTGATGACATTTTGTACAAAAGTGTAAACCTACGTTTATTCGAACGGGTTCGCAAACCATCATAATCGGACTATGGGAACGGGGGTTTTATGGGGTAAAAACAGATATTCCCATTTTTTACCCTAAAAACACAAAATTTCACAACTTCTCTCCAAACAATGTTGTAGAGCTTAAAAAAAATGGTTTTGTATGTTGAAGCGTTGTTGTATGCCCAACGGTTACGGAGGTAATTAAACATTTGTAATTAAAAATTCTCATGGTATTCTTACGGAGGATGAATAAACTGTTGTAGATTTTTGTTTATAGATATATTTTAACCAAATTTGGAAGTTTTCTTTATTTAATACTAAGCTATCAACATTGCAATAAAACACCTCAATATCTTCCCTGTAGCAGCAAAGCTTACTAAATAAATTTTAACGATTTTTTCTTTAAACTTTTAATCCTTAAACTTTTTTAACCATTGGTTTACATTTTCTATATTTTAGTTTGAGTAAATACTGCATGTCCGGGTGAAAACATTATAGTGGGTGGTTTAACGTAGTGATCAACTGTTTTTCAGTAAAGTACTAATGGTTATTGAATTAGGCTGTCAATGTGTAAACAATTTCGTGGTATTTACCAATCATGTTACAACAACGAATGTTTAAGTGACACAAGCAATTTTCTGACGTGTCAAATCGCTTTTCATGATCAATTATTTTTTACGTAAACGATATAATTGAAAGCACAATACAACAAGTGGAATGGTTGTACACTGTACGTAGTAATTTTCATCGTTGTCACCGTCATTGTAGCCTACCTACAATATTGGATTGCTCGTAGCACCTAACAAGGCTTTGCCTGTATTATGGAGCTTCCATACACTGGTCTTTATATTGAATTACGCATCGTCATAACTTAATTTTGGGCATAATAACAGTGCCTTGGATAACTTATAGTGCTTAGTTACTGACATGATGGAGATCAACTAGTCTTGTGATCGAAACACAAGGCATATGTCCTTGAGAACCTCGGTTTAGATCCTGCGGATCACTAAGTTTAACTATGTTATAATGCCGTAATTAGGAGTCCATCTGTTATAAATACGCTCGCCGATC